AACACTCGTTAGCATCTCAAACACATTAGCTCGCCTCTTTAAGGCAGCAACTTAAATAATTGTCCTGACGGAAGTCTTTTTCTCGCTTTGAAAGACAAAATGTTCACAGCAGGAGGAAATTGGTGGAGAAGAAAAAAAAGAGTGCAGAGGGCTTGTTGAAAGCAGCGTTCAAAAATAAGTCTGGCATTATTGCATTTAATCTGTTTTTGTCAGCAAATCCCACTAAATACTATTGGGAACAAAGAGTCGCTCTCAGTGCTCTTTTGCTGTGGCTCAGAGCTTCAAACTCACTGAAATAARAATATCTTTAGATTGTAATAATATAATTATATTAAATAGTCATTTTTATGTAAAGCTGCTCCACACTTTACGCAGGGAGATGCTGGGATTTTAGGGAAAATTCATATCTTTAAGTTTGTTTTCATTACAGTAAAGCTACAACAAGCCTTCACAGAATTACTGTGTTTGTTGAGAGTTTTCACCATTCCACCACCATCACTTTCACGCATCATTTGTCCAGTAGGTTCTTAGCTCATTTACTTAATCTCTCCTCCTCCTCTCCTCCCAGGCACCCTGAGGCAGAGGASTCCTTCCTAATGAGCCAGGTCATATTTAAAGGGTTTTTCCCCAGTAAAAGAGGCTAAAAGAAAGTTTCTCACTTAAGAGTTTTCAGCCTCTTTATGGGAATTTAAACAGATCTTAGTTTGAAACCTTGACATGCAAGGCAGCAGGAGATTTGTATCCTTTAAAGGAGAAATCTTTATTTTATTAAACATTTAAATCATTCATTTAGGGTTTATAAATGTGGAACTGCAATGATTTGGTCTGAATTCCTCCTTATTGTAACTCCACAAGCCCCTCTTTCACCTCTTTGCTGAGGGGTGTCTCAGATCAACTCATTTTGAGGCTGTTTCTTTAAATCCAAAAGAGGCGCTTCACACCCATGCTTTTAAAAATTCTTATATAAAAAACTACACAACAAAACACATGACATTTTGTTATGGCTTTCGATTTTTGTGAGCCACTCTGAGCCTATCAGTGGCCCCCATCTGCGCCCCCTGTTTTATAGTTTTTCCACGAGCACAACTGATCTAATTAAATCAACCTTATTTTACACAAATCACACAATGTGCATTTGAACAAAATGTTTTTCTGTTAAAACCCTAGCATAATACATCCCTTTATAGATTACATTTGATAATGGTAGTATCAAAAAGACTTGTATTAAAACTGATTAACTTCACGTGATCCCAGGCCCAGTCTGAACAAGTTCTGGTCAGCAGAGAAAGAAGGAAAATTATTTACACCATTAATTCAGCTGCCCCAAGTTGTGATTGGAGCTGCCGCCACACGCTATTATTACAAACTCCACRGGCGCTTGTCCTTTTTTTCTCAGCTCCATCTGCTGCTGAGTCGACACTGCAGCAGGCCTACCATCAAGCTCGCCGGCACCAGCCTGTTCTTACACGTGGCTGTTTAACACAAGCGCAGCAGGASCGACATTATGGCCTCGTGGCAAGAGGGGCTCAATGGCCGTGGCAACATTAGCTGTTATTATCCTCAGCAGCTCATTACAACCTCACTGTGGGGTGATGCTGACCGAGGAACCTGTGGCTCCGTTTGAAGCACATCCTCTCGCAGTGTGGAGGTGGTGAGACGTGTCGTCTATTCACTGATGTGCCGTTAAAGGAACTTACAAGTGGCAACACAGTGCTTGGGTTAAGCAGTTTGGGGATTTTGAGACAATAATAATGTCTGCCCTATGGACAAACTGTTTTAACATGGTGTCAAATAAATATTTGGTGCAATATGATGTTCACACAAATTCAGGCCTAAAATAGATAAAATAACGGGTCAAACTTGCTATGTTATTATAATCAGGTGCTCACTGATACACCTAAAACCTTTAAATGCACGATAACAATTGTAATTAATTGTAAATTGACATAGGATTCCTTCGATTCCTTGGTAAATCAATAATATTTCACCTGTTCTACATAGCTCCTTGAACAACCACCTCAGCTCGAAGAAAAACAGCTACAGCCTGATGTAATGATAAGCTGATGGCTAGTCTGGTCTATGGCAAGACCAAGGTGGGGTACTGCAGTTTTGAAACAACTCCCAACTCCTGTTAGAAGTGCTACAGATAACTGCTGCAGCCACTATTTGTGCCAGAATGAAAGTTTGTTTGTTTTTGTTTTGTYTTTCAAACTGAGGACGTTTAAAAAGGCTATCTACAGCAGGTAAGATATTAAYGTTTTACAACCCCACAAAAAAAGACCTGAGCTATCACTTTAGGTTTAATAACAAAGATGTAGTCAAACTTTTAGATAAATCAAGTTTCWGCAAAGATGACCCAAATGGCAACAAATACGACAAAATGTTTTTCAGTTGTTTGTTGAACTGTGACTAGTAATATATTTCAGGACATTACTGTATAATGAAGTTAACCAATGATAATTTATGTATAAAACATAATCTCTTTTGTCTCATAAAGTTTTACTACAATCACATATTTTGTTACTAAACTTCTGTGTCTTTAAACTGTTTGTCTGTAATCTCAGCTGAGCTGGGGTCTGGTTTTAAACCTTCATCCAGTTCAACGAGCTCAAAGTTGCTGCAGCTACCCTGGGATTGATAATTTATGAGTTTGATTCTCTTCCCCAGTTTACAAATTCAGTCCCCAGCAGTATCATAGAGAGTGTGGATCATAAAACTGCCTGAAGGATTAAAAGCCTCTTTTAGGGTGTTGTACGGTSGTTTGAGCTTAAAGCACCTAACTGGACTTACACCAGTTTTTTTTAAAAATGCCTCAGTTTCTGCTTAGAAGCAGTCAGTTCATTAATAAAGAACAATTTCATTTGTTTATTTGACTATTTTAAATGATCAATAATTTCATTGAGCTAAAAGAATTATCCATTGGCCCTTTGTGTTTCTCCTCAACAAAATGAATTTCAACCACGCTTAAGGAGACAAAAATAAATAAAGCTTTCATCATCTAATCTGATTTGCCCAAATGATTTGATTACAGACTTTGTGWGGAGAAAGGACACGGAGGTCTCAATGTGCTTTCCTAGATGGAACATGAATGTCTTAACGATTCCTTTATTGGATAAATTATAAAAGGTTTTTCTTTTGCACAGGCTGAAAAAGAAATATTGGGATTAGTGCAAAATCAAATCCGGTGGAGCTTTAGACGACATATAAAGTTTGCATGGGACATCTGAACCTCTTTATCCTTTGAATAAATCCCACTGAGCATGGATATATTTTATCTTACCATGTCGAAAGTTTAATTTGTGTTGGCACAGAGGATACCCATCACAGCTCAATGACTTGTCCCGTCTCTGTTAGCCTTTTTATATAACTGCATTACCAAGAGGCCAGGCCTGCTCCTTCCTGCTCAGATCAAGAAGGAACAAGCCGTGTTCAAAAGAAGAAGATGAAGGATCATCACATCCGACATGCTCAGCTTCTTCATCAGCACTGAGGCAAATTCATAACCTGTTTGATATTTAATAAAAGTCAATCAAACAAAAATTTAAAATGAATAAATAAAAAAAAATTCACATTTTGGTATCTGTGTTTTCACTCTGATGAGATGTTTTGTWGTGTTAACCTTTCTGTGCAACACTTCGGTGCAACTTTGTTGCTGTTTGAACAACTGACACTAAATATAAATATCATATATTTATTTAGGTCGGGACCTAAATTAACAAAAAAAATTAAATAGAAATAAACATTGATTTATTTTCAAATGAGTGTGCTGCAGTGTTGATTCTGATACATGGACATCATGTCATTACCTTGACCAACAAAATCTATAACAAAAACTCAGTGATTTATCAGCTGTAAAACAACTTGCTCTGTATCTACTGTATAATTATACAGTTGAAAATAGATACTTTACTCTGAACAGTTTTTTTAATCAAACAATCAACAACAAAAAATCTGCTCAGTTTGCACAAACGTTGAATTTTCAGTTACTTCGTACTCTATAAGATCAAAAATCCAGAATTTTAATCTGTTTACTTATCACAAAAAATGAGGAAATTTGTGTTTGGTAGATTATTTATTTGTTGTAACAATGTTACTTGGTAATATAGAGTATCTTATACTGTTGGAAAGCCTATTAATCATATAAAATATAAATATGTAGGTCCTCTGGATGGGTTCTTCTTCAAAGTTTTTTTATTTTCCTACCTGGATTACTGAGATGCATCAGGACTAAATTCTGTTTTAAATGGTGCCACATTTGTAAGGAACATGCATTTGTGGGATGAGCAGTAGAGCTCAGTGTGTGGGTTACATACATGAAAAAACAGTCAAATCTTCTCAGCCAAACAGCTTATTTTGACCCTTTTTTTGAGCTTCTGGTGCCCCCAGGTGCTGCCATAAGATTTATTGCAAAGAAGCAGTGTTACAACAAAGAAATCATCTACCAAACACAAATTTATTTAATTGTTATGCCAAGTATATATAAAAGAATACTTTGGAAATAAATTATAACCTTTACAAGCTTCTCTTGAATAAATCATGGTTGAATCCCCACGCAATAAAATGAATCTACAACATATCCATTCAACCCTCTATCCATTTTTTATGCCTGCTTGATGCTGTGCAGGGTCACAGGGGAGCTGCTGTCCATCTCCTGTGATCATTAGGCACCAGGACAGGTCACCAGTCCATCACAGATCTGCTGYGTTGCAATAGTTTGAGGGATAGGAACTTCACATGTAACACATGAAAGTTTTAGAAGTTGTGGACTTACATTAAAGCAAATATATACTATGTTCTGAATATTAATTTAATTAAATATTGTGAAAAATATTCACCTATTTTCAAAGACAAGTCCTAATAAAGACAAAGTTATTTCTAAATTGGTAAAATAAAGAAAATTAGCTGATAATTCCAGAATTGAATAGGAACCCAAGCCTTTCTTGAACTTGCAAACCTGAACAGCACCCTCTACTGGTTAATTGAAAACACAAAACAGCAACTGAGGGGAAATTTGGGAGGTTTATTAAACGCTTCTGTTACATACAGTTCAAATTTTGTTGTTTCTAATGAAGTATTTAGTCACAAAGAAGCCATCAGGTAGAGTTCCTGTAGAAGGAAAGTATTTCATCTAAGCTCTGAGGAGCGCCTTCAGGAGGCTGCTGAGCCTGGCTTTGATCTACAGGCGGGGGTGGAAACGCATGCGGATACTGGTACGGGTACTGCGGGGGAAATGGAGGAAGGACGTGTGGTGGACCTGCAAAGTGAAAAGGAGGCGGAGGAGGAAACAGAGGATAAAAAGGAGGAGGAGGAGGGGGATACTGGGGGTTAAAAGTAGGAGCTGATTGTGAGGAAGTCTCCGCAGGTGGGGGCTGTGAGGACTGTGAGGATGTTGGGGGAACAGATGGAGGCCGAGGCTGTGGTTCAGGTTCGCTCTCTGAGCTTCCTCCTGGACACTTGGCAAACTTGAAGGACATGTTGGGTTTGTGCTCCTGATTCTTGGTCTTTGCTGGTTTTGATTTTCTCTCGTCAGCGAAGTACGCAGATGGAGGGGCGAATTCTGACTCTCGCTCATCCCGACGACGAGTTTTCCACTCGCTGAACATATACTCTGGAMAAAATAAAAATAAAAACATCCAAGTGGGCATTATTGATGAGAAATTTTAGATAAAATGCAGGAGCACCAGACTAAAATGCAACCATGACATTTACAGATTCATTTTTTTAAATTGTATTTACTTTAGTTAGATTTATTGTTTGATGTAATATTCTAATCTTTTTAATTTCTGCTGACTCCCGTAGCACCGGGTAATCCTTTTGAAAAATGTTTGGTGTCATTGTGAAGCTTGGAAGGATTCCTCTTTATAATATACTGTAAGGCTGAAATTCCTGATGAAAGCCCTCTGGACCAATAGAAAGGGAGTTTTAAAACCTGCACTCATGTAAACAAAACTACTTGTCGTTTACCAGGTGATAATTCACAAAATTTGAAAGTTTCCTCAGCCAGCAAAAAAAAGGTGAATGATGTAGAAATTTGAACACAAACGTTTGAATGAGGACSTACCTTTCCCCCTGTCCCATTCTCTGACGTGAGGGACTCCCGGTTTGGTGTCCCTCCTCTCCTGAATCTCCACTTCCACCCTCTTAAGAATGCTGAYCTCTGGTGGCACATCTGGTTGGAGGATGGGTCCAACTGTTTCACCCTCCTCATCCTCTCCTGAAACATTAAAAAAAGACCTCTTTCAGCTCACTGCACCGTATCATCCAAACTGACGAAACACTTTCTGTTCTGTTGGAGAAAACAGACTGAAGCAGCAGGGATGAGGCACRGAGGCTAACCTTGATTCTCCTCCTCTACATCTTTCTCCTCTTCCTCGTCGCCATCTAGTTTTGCCTTCTTCATCTTCCTCTGCCTCACTTTGGCTAGTCGGGCCTTAAGGATGGACTGCCTCTTCTCCTTGAGTCGTTCTCTTTTAGTCCGCTGCTCTGTAGTCTGAGGGATGGAACGGATGTCAAGGTTAAAGAGGCATTAATCATCAGATTTAAGAATTATTTCACTGAATGCGTCTCAAATACTCCATGACGTAATGCAGGAAAAAAACCTAAAAAAATTAAAGATTTTAATGAAACTCTTAGAAAATAATCAGTGGATGTGCTGATTAAACTGATTAACTTTTGAAGTCAAGCCCAGTCAAGATGGCCGCCACAGCCTAATTATAAACATGTTTAGCTAAAATTTAGTGTGGTAATCGCATAGAGTCATACCCAGCTCATAACTGAATTGCTAACAGTTTTTTTTAATTTTATCAATAATTATTACAGTCAACAACACATGTCCGTTAGCAAAATATCCCATGAAGCACATTAACGTGATATTTCCTGTTTATTAATGAACACACCTGGTCTCTGAGCATGTCCAGAGTTTCTCTTTGCTTTCTGCGCTGCTCTTCATCCTGAGAGAAAGCAAAGTAGCCCACACCAAGGTCTCTAGCCTCTGAGACGGAGGGAAAAAGAAAAAGGTTTTGTTTTTTGGACAAAAATAAGAAACCGAGCTTCAAAACATGTCTGAAAACAATCTGATCTGATGCGAACCTTGTGCTCGAATATCCTCATAGTGAATTGGTCCAACGGGCCTCTTCATCGCCTCCTCCTCCTCCCTCTCCCACTCCTGCCTCTGCAGATCTCGACGCATGTCCTCAGACAGTAAGGTCTTCTGAGATGCGGCCATTCTACAGGAAACATCATAACCATGTTATCTTTTGTTAATGAATTATTCTGAGGCAAAAAGAGACAAAAACAAAACTTCAAAACAAGATCGTCCTAAAAACGTGTTTATTCTGCAACTACATCTTACAGGGTTTACTCAAAACATAGATTTGTTCTTTATTAACATGTATTATGTAAAAATAATATTAAAAATATCTAGAGATTTTTTTTTTCTACAGAATCTGTTGTCCGACTCACTCTTTAACTATAAGATGACCTTTAGAAATTAAAAATTTGCCTAAACTTGAGTGTGGCTCATGTTTTCCTGACAACTTATCATGAAATCATGTTCAGTTCAATAACTCAAAGTGTCAACACGTTACACAATCTTTCATTTAAATTAACAAATTTCTAATAAATCACACCAATTTCCAAGTTTTAAAAAATTGTGTTTTTGCTAACATACATAGTGTGAACTGTTGTAAAAACTGTTGTAAAATTTATAAATGTTTACTTCTCAGAGCCTTGAATTTGATAATTTATGAGTACAAGATATGATTTGTTACTATTTATATAATAATAACTATTAGTGTTAATATACTTACTCTTTTCCTTTAAGGTCTTGGTCCATTTTTTGAAAACTCGGTAGGTCTTTCTTCATGCATCTTCGAGATCGTCCTAAAGCGTCTACAAAATCCACCCTGCAGGGACACAACAAAAATTGTAACGTTTTTATAAATTTGGAAGGCTTGCAATTTCACAGTTACAAAAACTTGGAAAAATGTCGTAATTTAAAATCCAAAAAAGAAATCAATGAGTCATTACCATTCCTCATCTGGGTTCTGAGGAGGAGGGATGGGTGACAAACGGTCTCTTTCATTATCATCTTTCTCCATCTTGTTCTGTGGTTGTGTTTCTCTCTTTTTGTCAATAATCTTCTGGGTGAAGTCAACAAGGTACAGGGCCTCCGTCTCTTCGTCTGAGGAATAACAACAAGTGTGGAACAACAGAGCAACTATTTTAGGCAAAAAATATCAGGCAACTCAAACTCTACTGACCTGGAAAGTCTCCTTTTGTCATCTGCTCATAGAGCCTGGCTTTTTCCTCCAACTTCTGCCTGTGTTTCAGAGCAGAAAGTGATCAGATGTTGTGGTTACCTGTTTCTTTACTCATTAAATATCAGGTTAATAAACTCACCTGGATGTATTGAGGCTGACCTGCTCCTCGGCCAGCTGCTCTGCATCTTTCGCAGCTCTTGCTGAAACTCCAGCATTTTGTTTGCTCCAGATATTAGGTTTCTGACATGAAAAGCAGAGCAGCGAGTAAGAAATGCATCTGCGTCATGAAGCATTTCTCTTCTAAACTCCAGCTGTACCTTGTTGGTTGTGGATTTAGCTTTGACGCTAGCATCAGCAGAATCTTGCCCAAGTTTCTCCCGTTTGAACTGTTCCTGTTTCCTGTACAGTTCAGCCTTCAGGTCTACTAACTGGTGGAAACAAATAATTAAAAAATTAAATTTTGGTTTCATTTTTATGGAATGTTTAATGTACTGAGTTTTAATGAGCTAACTCAAGCTACGTTTAATCCTGTAAACAGAGCCGTACATCAATTTATTATATCCTGAATTCAGTTTTTCAGTCTTCCTGTCAAGTAACTCACCGATGATGCAGCTACATCCAAGGGTTTCTTCTTTTTATCCATGTTTCCTGTTTATTCTCCACATTTCCTAAAGTTGCTGTTTTGCTAGCTTATGTTAGCCGCTGGACTTCATCGTTGTTTCTAATTGACAAAAAGGCGCACCAGCGCCACCTGCTGTCAGCTGGCAGATCTGCAGCCCCGTAAGGAAGACGATTTATTATAATCTAACTAAATAAATAATGGATTTTTATAAAGCTTCACAAATATTCTCAAAGGGGTTTATACAATCAGTATATTRAATAATACTTGCAAAACTGAAGACAGCACAAGTAAATGTAACAAGCAAAAATATTATATCATAAAAAAATCTTAAATTATTTAAAGTGTTTGCTTTTAGAGAGATGATTGACTCAAATCTGAAGTTCTGAAAATCATCTCTATTCAAACTAGTACAAAACATAACATGCAATCATATAAGGATCATCTTTAGACTCAAATGTACTACTGCTTCATTTTGTGGCATTATATCTTTATTATTCTGTAACAGAAACATGGCTAATAGTATCTCTATAAAGTAATTCCACTTGATAGGATCACTTAACATTAATAAATTTACTAATATGCATTTAAAATGAATGCATATTTTACATACGTTTGAGGAAATAATTAACCATTTTCTTACATTACTGCAACAGAATTTAAAGTTGTTGAATTGAAGATTTTAAATGAAAACTCCCATCAAAACAAGATTGTAAAACACCCTTTCCAAATGGGTCTTACTGTTTTAATGTTCGTACCTGTAAGTGGTAAACCCGCCACTCTAACAGAGCTTTAACCTACTTTTATTCGTAGGTTTTAAACAAGGTTTATTTGGGCACCTGGTGAAATGGAAAATGCATCAATTTTAAATATTTCTTGTTCAATCTGATGGACACACATATTTGCTATCAGTCTAACACTATGATGTTCAATTTCCAGTCAGAAAATGTCACGACTGCAAAACTTGTTTTATATTCCACACATTTTTGGCTTGTTTCTGCAGTGCTCAGGTTTGTGTTCATGTATTTCAACGAAACGTGTCCGAAGAATAAACCAGCACAAATCAACAAGCACAAAGGTTTTTAATGCATCGAACCAAACTACAACTCACAGCAGACAAGAGTAACACCTAAACTAACAATCCAGATTAAGCAACTAAACCAAATCTAAAAACTTTGATACATCAATTTGCGAGTAGTTCTCAAGCTATTTAAAATGATATTCCACCACCAAAGGCTTATATTTGCGCACAGAGGACCTAAAAATCTAAAACAAAAATGGATGCAATTTTTGTCACAAAATCTCCAGTCTGATTTATTTTCATTTTTTATTTGCATTTCTGTCATCTCTGCGGATCAAATACCAGCTCCCTCTTCAGCCAGCTCAGCTCGTGCAGAGTGGACACCCCCATCTCAGGGTGTGAAAACCTGCAGACGTCTTTACACACCTGGAAGAAGTCAGAGTCACAAAGGTGAAAATCMTTTTTTGTGCAAGTGTGACAACTCATGACTGTCATAGTAACTGGACAATTTGAAACAACAAAGCAACTATTTGTGGTAAATGATAGGCAACTCAAACTCTGACCTGGAAAGCACGCTGTTGCCACTGTTTTAGAAATGATGGCCTTTACTTCAGACTCCTTCAGACTGTTTTGAAGCAGAAAATGATCAGATGTCATGTTACCTGTTCAGACACATTAAATATCACAAAAAGACAAACTCACCTGGCTGAATCAGAGACGATCGAATCCTCTGCATCTTTCTCAGCTCTTGGTGAATCTCCAGCGTTTTGTTTACCACACTCGTTAGGTTCCTGCAATGTAGAGTAGCGTGTGAGAAAACAATCTGCGTCAATATAAAACATTTCTCGTTTTCTGCACAGTTCAGCCTTTGAGTCAAACTGTGGGAAACAAATGTTTTTTTGTTATTTTTAATTTTGACAATTATTAGGGAATACATTACTGAGTTTTGATAAAATGGTATGTTCAATCCTTTAAAAAGCCCCAGGGCCACTCATTAATGTGAATTTACAGTTAAATACAGTGGTTTGCAAAAGTATTCATACCCCTTGAACTTTTCCATATTTTGTCACATTACAACCACAAACATAAATATATTTCACTGSAATTTAATGTGAAAGACCAACACAAAGTGGTATACAATTGTGAAGTGGAAGCAAAATTTTACATGAATCAAAACATTTTTTACAAATAAAAAACTGAAAAGTGCGAHGTGCAAAAKTATTCAGCCCCCCTGAGTCAATACTTTGTGGAGCCACCTTTTGCTGCAATTACAGCTGCAAGTCTTTTACGGTATGTCTCCACCAGCTTTGCACATCTAGTGACTGCAATTCTTGCCCATTCCTCCTTGCAAAACAGCTCAAGCTCAGTCAGATTGGATGGAGAGCGTTTGTGAACAGCAGTTTTGAGATCTTGCCACAAATTCTCAATTGGGTTTAGGTCTGGACTTTGACTGGGCCATTCTAACACATGAATATTCTTTTTTTTAAACCACTCCATTGTAGCTTTGGCTTTATGTTTAGGGTCGTTGTCCTGCTGGAAGGTGAACCTCCGCCCCAGTCTCAAATCTTTTGCTGACTCCAACAGGTTTTCTTCCAAGATTGCCCTGTATTTGGCTCCATCCATCTTCCCATCAACTTTGACCAACTTCCCGGTCCCTGCTGAAGAGAAGCACCCCCAGAGCATGATGCTGCCACCACCATATTTGACAGTGGGGATGGTGTTTTCAGAGTGATGTGCAGTGTTCTTTCTCCGCCACACATAGCGTTTTGCATTGTGGCCAAAAAGTTCAATTTTGGTCTCGTCTGACCAAAGCACCTTCTTCCACATGTTTGCTGTGTCCTCAACATGGCTTCTGGCAAACTGCAAACGGGACTTCTTATGGTTTTCTTTTAACAATGGCTTTCTCCTTGCCACTCTTCCATAAAGACCACATTTGTGTAGTGCACGACTAATTGTTGTCCTGTGGACAGTTTCCCCCACCTGAGCTGTGGCTCTCTGCATTTCATCCAGAGTCACCATGGGCCTCTTGGCTGCCTCTCTGATCAGTGATCTCCTTGTTCGGCCTGTAAGTTTAGGTGGACGGCCTTGTCTTGGCAGGTTTACTGTGGTGCCATACTCTTTCCATTTCCGGATGATGGATTGAACAGTGCTCCGTGAGATGTTCAAAGCTTGGGAAATCTTTTTATAACCTAAGCCTGCTTTAAACTTCTCCAAAACCATATTCCTAACCTGTCTGGTGTGTTCTTTGGACTTCATGATGCTGTTTGCTCCCCAATATTCTCTTAACCAACATGTGAGGCCGTCACGGAGCAGCTGTATTTGTACTGAGATTAGATTACACACAGGTGGACCCTTTTGAGTCATTAGCAGTCATCAGGCAACTTCTGAATGCAATTGGTTGCACTCAGGGAAAAGGGGGCTGAATACTTTTGCACGTCGCACTTTTCAGTTTTTTATTTGTAAAAAATGTTTTGATTCATGTAAAATTTTGCTTCCACTTCACAATTGTATACCACTTTGTGTTGGTCTTTCACATTAAATTCCAGTGAAATATATTTATGTTTGTGGTTGTAATGTGACAAAATATGGAAAAGTTCAAGGGGTATGAATACTTTTGCAAACCACTGTATTTAAGTAACTCACCGCTGATGCAGCTTCATTCGTATGTTTCTTATTTTCATCCATGTCTCGATTATTTTCCACAACAGATTGCTGTTGAGTAGCGACGTGTCCCCACTTGGCGAAGGTTTGAAGGGTGTGTTGGCAGAATCCCTGAAGAAACTTTTAGTGAAGCTTGTGCCAAGGCATGTTCATGCCTGTTAGTGGTATCTGCAGCTCTAACATAGCTTAAACCATTTTTTCATACATTTTGAATAAGATTTCATCAGACACCTGGTGAAATGAAAAATGCATCAATTTTTAATACTTTTTGTTCAATCTGATGGATACTCAACATATTTGCTGTCAATCTAACACTCAGATGTACAATTTTGAGTCAGAAAATGTCACCTGACCAATAATTCTCCAAGCAAAAGCACTTAGGCCAAATGTGTGGGAGAAGACRGTGGAACTGAAGCAGGCTAATGGACCAGACTCACAGGCACTGCCTCTGCGTAACAAATGATTTTTACTCAAAGTAAGAGCCACACGTGTCTGCTTGTTTCCACAGTGCTCACGTTTGTCTTCAAATAATTCATAAAACGGTTAAACGAGCACAAGTCAAAGTTTTTAATGCATCAAACCAAAGTACACCTCACAACCGACAGATAAGAGTAACATCTAAACTAAAAACAAACCAGATTAGGCAACAACTAAAGCTAATAAAACCTATTTAAAGAACACTTAAAGAACAATAACCTAACAAATAACCACATAATTAATCATACAGTATCTTTGAGGCTTTTTCCTGTAAGTTTTTTTAATATTCTTCTCAAAAATCAATTTGTGACTAGCTCTCAAGCTGTTTGAAATTATATTCCATCCTCCATGGTCTTAGATTTGTGTAACCTCACAGTCTGATTGTTGTTGTTGTTGTTTTGTGTCATCTCTGCAGATTATATGCCGTACAGCTTGGCGGTGTTGTTTCGGATGGTGTTCAGGACCGTGGCCTCGTCCTCCCCCCTCAGCCAGCTCAGCTCGTGCAGAGTATGGATCCCCATCCCGGGGTGTGAAAACCTGCAGACGTCTTTACCAACCTGAAAGCAGTCAGAGTCACAGAGAGGAAGATGTTTTTGTGCGTGTGAGAGAACTTAGTAGTCAAACATATTTCATACTGACAATCTGCAGGCAGTGTGAAAATGATCCTTGATAACATCAGTTAGCTGATCCAAAACTCATACAATGACTATAAAATCTGTACCATTCAATGTCTTTATATAGTGTTTTCATTTTTTTTCTGAGTCTCAGTTTAAAACAGACCTGTCTGGGCAGGAAATACGGGGCATCTGTTTCCAGGACGATGCGGTCCAGAGGAATCTGGTGCGCAGCGTTCCGTGCCTCTGTGGCGTTGCTGTAGGTGATGAGCGCTGTGAAGCCCACGTACAGGTTGGGGAATTCTGTCAGGAAAGGCTCGATCACTTCGTAGTTGTTGGTGAAACAGTGCCTGGAAAGCCACACAAACATGGAAGAAAATCCAACAATTAAATGCACAAATACACACACTGCATGTCTGAGGAAACACTCTAAAGATCGTTCGAACCATCAGACTCAGTAGGAACTCTGTATCAGTGACGGAGATCACCAAGTGGAGATGAGAGTGGGTAGAAAGGAATGAAGGAGGGTTCGACAAATCCTATTGCCCGACTGCCCGAGGCAGGTAAAACTCATTCGGGCAGGTGGGTGTGTCCCAATGCCTGCCTGACCGGGCAGGTAAACAATTTCTTTTATTTTTTTAATAGGGCCATTTATTCAAAATATTCTGAAAATAAATGAAGAAATATAGCATTAAAACACATAAAGAATAAATCCTCAAAATTTCCACCTCCCTTTTAGAAAAGTTACGTCATGCCGTCGTGTTGCAGGATCACTTCCTCCTCCCTCCCGCTGCACGTCGCGCAGAGCGAAGCTTTAACAAACGTAGTTTTTTCATACCCAAGTTGTTGGAGAAAAAAAAAACTTGTTTTTTATGTATTGTTACCCACAAAAGTGATAAAAAGATGTGGACGTTTGTTCAGTCATAAATCCATCTTGCTAATGTCAGCTTCTGCTCTGATGATGAAGATGATGAAGATGAGCGCGCAGCAGCGGGTCAATTCAGCAGGCAGAAGCTCATTGTATGGCAGGCCGATATAACATTTATTTGGCTTCCCCACACTTATATTCTAGTTATCTGAAATTGTTTTATAACTAAATTAGACATATTAGTTATTTAGGAAAAATAATTTAAAAAAACTATTTTATTATTTTATTTTATTTACTTTTTTTAATTTGGAGATCTTTCCAGCTTGAGCTTGTTTGTCTGTCTAAGTTGATTTTTGAAAATAAGGGGCAAATATGATAGAGTTTTTCTTCACTCTGCACTCTTTTAATTCAGGGTAGGATATACTTTGYTTTTTTTAATGTTGTACATAGTTTTGTTTTGTTTTTATGAATGAAACAAACAAACAGACATCTCTTAATGTATTTTGACAATTCAAAATACCTATTTAAGGCATCTCTAATTATATTCTGACTAGTATAAATAACGTCAGATTGATCATTAAGTTGTATGGAGACTCCAGTTCAAGATATCTTAAATGTA